ACTGAGATGAGGGATGATGTCTGATCACATACTGGCACCTGATGAAAAAGCCCAGCTGTGTTCACTGGCAGCTAGGGTAGCATTCTGAGCACATCACTGGTTCAGATTGGCTTTATTAAATGTGATATCACCAAATTATGATGAACCTTGTGGTTTCTCACTCATGGAAGTGGTTGTAGTTGCTGGCGACCCTGAGGTGCTCCTATGTTAGGGCAAAGGTGTGAGCGGTTACTTCTTCTGCTTTTATCCTCAGGCAATAGAAACTCTGACAGGTGCACTGTTTCAGCGACCACCCCTCATTGCTGCTGTCAAACGACAACTGAGAGTCAGAACCATCTATGAGAGCAAGCTGGTGGAGTATGATCCTGAGAGAAGATTAGGTAAAACACGGATTTCCTGCCTTCTTTCTCTTAAGTTGACAGCTGATAAAATTTCCTGTGAAATGGGCTGTTTCCTCTTCTTGGCAGATGTCATAGGACATAAATCCTCACCACCATCAAGCAGTAACTGCTTCATGCATTACTTTGGTGTGCTGAGAAGCAAATCCCATCTGTTGTTGGTACTGCTGCATCCTTCATTGAAGAGCCAAATGATGTCAATTAGATGGCATTAGCACTCAGTGCAAAGATGACCTTCATCTATCACCCCAGGCTGATGGCTCTGTGAAGGGCTGGACATACAGCTTCTCTCGGAGGGAGCTTCTAGACGTGGTTCAATTCTAGATATGTATTTAAATACTGTTCTGTCCTGTCCTGCATTTCAGGTATCTTCTGGGTGAGCTGTGAAGCAGGCACATATATCCGAACACTCTGTGTTCACCTTGGTTTGCTGCTTGGTGTGGGGGGCCAGATGCAAGAGCTCCGCAGAGTGCGCTCAGGCATCCTGGGAGAGAAGGTAGAGTGGTAGCTCTAACTATAACGATCAAATTTTAAATTGTCAGAATTGCAAGAGTTCCTTGGAACTGTGTTAGTTTTACAGTGTTAGGAGAAAGTATAGGTGGCTGGGAGGAGTTTTGTGAATAGCCTTAAAAATGTGGGAGCTCTTGCCATAGACCGTCTGTAACCAAAGTGTTGAGTTCAGTTCAGGGTGTTGCCCCTGTTCTGGTAATTAAGCTTTGGGACAGTGAGTGACTGGGAAGTGCACCATGGTGACCGAAAGTTTGTTTTATGCCACCTGTGTTTCTCAGCCTACAAACCATGCATGTGCCACGAGTTCAGGCGTGTGAGCTGTGTGCTTAGCAATCTGCGACCGCTTGGTGTCAGGGCACAATGCAGGGAATGTGCTTCATCGAAATGAGCCTGGGAGATGCAGTCTTGTGTGATCTTGAACACTTGTACAGTCGTTTTAGTCTGGTCATAGCTGGATCCTGCTGCCAGTCCAAACTCCAGAACTAATTTCTTTCCTTGCAAAGCAGGAGTGTCAGAGTGCAAGTGTTTCCCCAGCCATCTGTGCTCTTACCACAGCTGTAATCACTGGCAGTGATTAATTTCTGAATTCCAGGTGTTGGGTGCTTACAGCTGCTTCAAGAATTTATTCCATGTCACTGACTGAAGAGCTGGTTAATTTAGACTTCTACTCACTAATCTTTGTCTAGAAGTCCCAGGTGTTTGTTTAAGTTTGGTCATATTTCAAAGTTTCATGTGGACAGACCTTATACACTAGATCCAAGTGCTGTCTGAGATTAGGAAGGTTGAAGTCTGGCAGCACAAGTCAGGCTGACCTCAAGCTGTTGATGGAAGGTATTCTTGCCTCTTTTAGGTTGCTTTTCTGATGCTTCTGATTGGGCATCTGTTTTTCACTCCCTTTCGGCACACTATTTGCTGTTGCACTTCAGCTGTTTTCTTGTGTGTGTTTAGCGTTGGTGGCTGGTAGGAGAGTTTAGAGGGATTGTGTCTTTGCAGGACAACATGGTGACTATGCATGATGTACTGGATGCACAGTGGCAGTATGACAACAACAAGGATGACAGCTACCTGCGAAGAGTTATCCTGCCGTTGGAGAAACTGCTGATTTCACACAAGCGGCTAGTCATGAAAGACAGTGCGGTGAGTTCCTGAGATAGTGCCAGTTGACAGCCAGAGACTGCAAAGCGTCCTCCTAACTTGTACAGCTAATATAATAAATGGGGGATCAGGATCCACATCGTGTCCAATGCTGTCCTGATTGTGAGCTGTGTAGGACCTAGTATGGGCCACTGCCAGATCAGCAGTAAGATGCAAGAGCAAAGAATTAAGTGGCAGAGAAGCTGCTCTCCTCACTTGAGGAGGATGCTGATGGTTATAAGAGATCTGCCTCACATGTTGTTTGCTGTGATAGGTGCTTTGCTTTGCTTACTTTTTCCAAAGCCCCCAAGTTTTATATAGTGGACAGTAAGAAACAGATATGTAGGGATGTTATTGCTGGGACAGTAATGGCAATGAGAAGCTAGAATATTAGAGGCACTTCTCAACTTGTTTGTATTCTCTAATGGCTTACAAGCCCTCCTGTTCCCTACATTTTCAGGTCAATGCCATTTGCTATGGAGCCAAGATCATGCTGCCTGGTGTCCTGAGGTATGAAGATGGTATTGAGCTTAATCAGGAGATTGTTGTCATCACTACGAAAGGAGAAGCTATTTGCCTAGGTATGAAACTTCCTGTTCTTCTTGTGCCCAGCTAACTGCAGAAGTAACAGATTGCGTTCCAGTGAATGCACAAAAAATGAGTCCCTGTGCACAAAAGGTTTAAATAGTGCTTCCTGATGAGGACTGTGGGTTAGTATGGCCCAAGGCAGCTGGTGGTGTTGGGAAGGATGTTAAGAAACAGGGGGTGCATCAGTCCTTGGCAAGGTGTGAAGAGTTCCTCAGCCTGGTTTCAGCTGCGTGATGCTCAGATGCGCTCTGTGTGTGAGGTGATGACGAAGTTTATCCATTCTCTGAGTGCAGTGGTGCTGCCCTCCTGCAGCACCCTGATTCCTGTTCTAGGGTCTGGGTGCTGTG